CGCCCACTGGTCCCCAGGTAGGGTCGTCCTCTACACTGATGGTTCTGTTGACCCCGCTACAGGTCGGGCCGGGGCTGGTGTCTACATCTCCCGTCCTCATGCCCCTGAGCCTATCAAACTGTCTCTCAGAGTTTCTGACGGGGCATCCTCCACTCAGGCTGAACTAATAGCCCTCCTTGCTGCCCTTCTCGCTGAGGAAGAAGCAGATGGTTTCTGACCCTTGCTTGTCTGCTGCGATTCCAGGTCTGCTCTCGACGGGATCGCATTTGGATCAGGGGAAAATAAGGACCTCATCCTCCGAATACGAGGGTTAACATCCACACTTCAGGATGCAGGCCGTCCTGTGACATTCCTATGGATACCCAGTCATGTTGGAACCTTGGGGAATGAGGCAGCAGATGACCTTACCAAGACTGACTGCAACAAGGCCACACCTGACTACGTTGTTCCTCGAATACTTTTACAGCTTAGGACCCAAATTCGCCGCAAACAGAGAGAAGCTCGGGAAGCAGCCATCCCCCTGGACTCCCCGCCCACCTGGTACGATGTCCTCTGTAAACTTCCTGACCTCTCGTATGTCTATGGGAAAGGGTCGCTGAAAGGGGACGTGATTGCTGCCCGTATCATCATTGGGTATGACTTTGCCTGGGAGATTGGTATCCCCGCATCCCCTGAGGAACGCTCTTGTGCATTATGCAGAAGACCCGACAGGCGCGCCCTTATCCACTACCTCCTAAGATGTCCCCACACACAACGCTTCCGTGACGCCTGCTGGACCACCACTCCACGACCCCCTGACGGAGACACGATGATCCTCCCCATACTGGCCACTGAAACCCGTAGGTATTTGCGGTGCGACATTGTTAAGACCTTCTACTCCCGCCTTAAGACGACTCCCTGCCTCCCAGCCAAACAGTGTTTTAGCACTCACCTGCAACACTTTTTGGAAGCGTTGGTGTTAGATACAGTTTCGTTCAAGATTCTTCGAACACTGCTGGAACAAGCTGGCAGCTCACTATAGTACGTAGTAAAAATTATGAATGAATGTAAAAGTGATCGGTGATTCGTTACTTAGTTCCCCGTTGCTTAATTAATGGTTGAGCTTTGTTGTTTCGTATTATATTATATTTTTCTGCTGGGAAATACTGTTAATTTGATTTAAAACTGAATAGACCAATGGGCCAACCTATATGAATTCATGTTTAGATAATTTAACATAACTAAAAATCGGTAAGTATGTTAAAGAACATCATGCATCGGGCAAAGCTGTGAGCAGGTTGTTTATGAGGCTGCTTGTTAATCATTAATTTATACTGATATTATTTTCAAACGTTTAATCCATTTCGGGTAATTAATCCAGTCGTATTACCGATGACAACCATATTTCTTTCTAAAGACGCTGATTTCATGCAACGCAAACTGCAGTTTTAATTCGCTGTGGGATTAAGCAGATTCATCGGTTCACTACTACCCGTAGTAAGTGTGTGTGTGTGTGTGTGTGTGTGTTTGTGTGTGTGTGTATGTGTGTGTGTGTGTGTGTTTAATAATGGCGTTGTTTAAATGATGGTGTGAATTAGTGTGGTGGCATATGCCTAATACTTTTACAAGCTTTTATCTAGCAATATCATTGTCATTCTAAGAAGTTGAATATTGTAAACGTCAATTGGTATTTCTTTCGTTGAGTGACTATTAGCAACAGCCCCCCCCCCCCCCTAAATCCTTGTTTCGGACTTGTGTAGATGACGTCACTTTTAGTCTGGTGTCTATTAACAATTTATTTTATTCTATATTTTCAAAAATGTGTATGATGTATTATAATTTTTTATCTTATTTATTTATTTATTCATCGATTAGTTTTTATAAATGCCTAATAAAATATAAATATAACGCTGACGTTATTGGCGGGAAGGTGAGGGAGACAGAGGTGTTGTCCGTGCTGACTACCCTTCCACTCCCTCAATTGTAGAAGGACCCTACCAACATGGAATACCACACACATAAAATCACTGAACGTGGAAGAATAATCGGCATGAAAGAGGCTGGGTTTTCACCCACTGAAATTGCACGAGAATTGGGTATTTCTTGGTCAACGGTATATTAATTATTGGATTAATCGATGGGAAGAGGAGGGAAGTTTAAAGGACCACCACAGGACGGGAATGCCGCGCAGAACAACACCTGCACAGGTTGAAGCCATCCAGAATTTCGCTGAGGTCAACCCCTTCAAGACTTCAGTTTCAATGAGAGAGGATCTCCAATTAAATATTTCCCTTTTAACAATCAAGCGAAGACTTCACGAAGGAGGCATTCACCAAAGAACTCCCGCCACCAAGGAGAGGTTAAATGAGCGACATTGCGGGGGCAGGTTACAGTTTGCTCGACGGTATGCTGAAGAAGACCTAGATTTCTGGGGAAGAGAAATATTCACTGACGAAAAAACTTTCTCATCTACCTCTCACGGAAGGTTGCCTTGCTGGAGGAGGAACAACACCCGATATGCTAGACCCGATATTTATGAGGAAGCAAGGAGTGGCCATGTGACTTGCAATGTTTGGGATGGATATAATTGCACAGAGTTGGAAAGCTGACTGACATAGAAGGAAGATTCACAGCTGAACAGTATTTAGAAATACTCAAAATCCCCGCATCCCCTGAGCAACGCTCTTGTGCATTATGCAGAAGACCCGACAGCCGCACCCTTATCCACTACCTCCTAAGATGTCCCCACACACAACGCTTCCGTGATGCCTGCTGGACCACCACTCCACGACCCCCTGACGGAGACACGATGATCCTCCCCATACTGGCCAGATATTATGTAAATAACATTGATTATGTGTTAAAGGAATATCCTTCCTTCCTTAGGCTTTAGTAAGCCCCTTTATAATATTTATGAGGTATATACTTGTCACACTTGCCAGATGCTTCTGGTGTTATTGTACCGGGGTACCTAGTGACAGCACTAGGATCCCGCTTCCTCTATCAAGGAATAAACAATTGAAATTGAAATTGAAAAAAAATACTCAAAGAAGTTATGCTTCCCTCGGTGCGTGCATATGCTTCCCCGTTTCCCGAAAACATTATTTTCATGCACGATGGGTGTACTATCCATACTGCACGGATTGTAACGCGGTGGGTTGCAGAACAAAGAAATTTTCAAGTTTTATACTGGCCAAGTAAGCGTTGTGACATGAACCCTATAGAAAATATTTGGGCCAATAATGTGATCGTGTGGGAGCCAGCGGAAGAGAAAACCAGGGTGCAGCTACAGGAGCATACACACTGTGAGTGGGAGGTGCTGAGGCGGAAACCGCAACTGATACACAATCACGTCACCTCCGTTCCCAAAAGACTGTAGCAAGTAATCGAGAATGAAGGTGGCTGGACTAAATGTTAATGTGTCAGAAATAATATTTCTATGTAATCAACGTTACATACTGAATGGACATCGATATTCATTTTTTCTGTTAACTGAAATAAATATAAATTTCATGAATATATGTCAAATTGTATAATAAATGTAAAGAAAGCAGTCCTCTTCTAATATCCTCACTTGTGCAGTATGTATACAAGATGATTTAAGTCAAACAAATCATAACATTATACTTATAATTATTATGAAAGAGTACAGTATCATATATGATAAATATATTGCATGTGAGAGGGAGACGGAGACAAAGAAACAACTGTAAAACGACACAATTCATACAATACTGTATGTAATGGTTCGATCACAGCTGTTCGATCCGGCTCTGCAAGGCACTTGTGATGAGGAAATTGATCTTTCATATTTCAATCTCATAATCTTATATTTAATAAGTTTATGTCATGCCGTTCACAATATATTTATGTATTATTATTAGAAAACGTTTACTGTAATAATTGTATTTGTATATATTTTCTCTTTTCATTTATTAATAAGAAATGGGAAGAAATCCTTGCCAATATACCAAACTATGTTACGTTACCTCACAATTTTTTCATAACTTACAATAATGATCCAACACTCACGCACACTTGCATAGACACTTGCACATCCGCACGCGCTCGTGAAGAAAGTAGATTTCAAGATTAATTAGTTAAATCTCGGACTGAAGGTGTAGCTAATGGGGAGCATGTGTATTGTATCCCTGTAGACCTTTCAACTGCCATTATGATTGTCATCCGAGTAGACTTCGCTTATTATATATTTCAAATGACATTTCTTTCGATTGATTGCTTGCACGCACACACACACTTAATACAGGTAGCAGTGAACCGATGATTCTGCTTAATCCCACAGCGAATTAAAACAGCAGTTTGTGTTGCATGAAATCAGCGTCTTTAGAAAGAAATCTGTTTAGCATCGGTAATACGACTGGATTAATTACCCGAAAGGGATTAAGCGTTTGAAGATAATATTAGTATAAATTAATGATAAACAAGCAGCCCCATAAACAACCTGCTCACAGCTATGCCCGATGCATGATGTTCTTTAACACACTTACCGATTTTTACTTATGTTAAATTATCTAAACATAAATTCATATAGGTTGGCCCATTGCTCTATCCATTTTTAAATCAAATTAACAGTATATACCAGCAGAAAAGTATAATATAATACGAGACAACAAAGCCCAACCATTAATTAAGCAACGGAGAACTAAATAACCAATCACCGATCACTTTTACATTCATTCATAATTTTTACGACGTAAACAAACGGCCTTGAGGCGCCAGATGTCTCCAGCAGTGTTCGAAGAATCTTGAACGAGACTGTACGGAGTGTGAATTTTTAGTTACAAGGAAAAATGGAAAGGCGGCATCCTTAATTCATAATTTATGTAATATGCAGACACTTTAAATAGATATTTTGATAATGCGAAATTCTTCTTAAAGAGGCTATTACTTCACCAAAATAACACATTTTCGTATGCTTGAATCTTATTACATTTGCAGTTAGGAATTACATTATCACAGTGACATTAAGTAGCTTTCACATCTATAGGTAGGCGTCTTACCTTTTCTAGGTCCGTCTTGAGCTGCTGCACGACAGACTCCTGCTCGTCCAGGCGCTGTTGTAGCTCCTTCCTTGTCCGCTGCACTGCCTCCTCTACCTGCCTGTGAGCACCAAAGTCTGTTATTATCTAGGGGTAGCTGATCTGTGTCTGTGAACATCAAAGTTTGTTAATATCTTGGGAGCAACCGTTTTGTTAGATTCTGAAAGCATATACCTTGTTGGGGTGTTTGGGGGTGACCGGCCTGTTAGTGTCTACATCACAGTAATATCTTAGAACTGTATCTAGAGAACCACAGTGTTATATTTTGGGCAGCAGAGCTGTCTGATCAAGTATGTTTAGGCTGTCGGAAGGAAATATTATTAAAAAAATAAAATAAAAAAATACATATATATATATATATATATATATATATATATATATATATATATATATATATATATATATATATATATATATATATATATATATATATATATATATATATATAACTATATATATATATACAGTATATATACTGATAACCACAAGGAAAAAGAAAACACTCCGTGTTTTCTTTTTCCTTGTGGTTATCAGTATATACCTGGATCACGCGCACCTACAGTGATTTATTTGCATATATATATATATATATATATATATATATATATATATATATATATATATATATATATATATATATATATATATATATATATATATATATAAACGTTCCAGTACTGTATCAATTTTTCTGTATCTATTCATTGATTTACGTTATAAAAATATAGAATATCAAAACTACTTGAATAAATACGATGTTCACCTGTTCAGAGTCAGCTGCATCTCCTTAAGCTGGGCCTCGAGCTTGTCCTGTTTGGAGTACTCGTAGAGGAGTTTCTTTCTAAGCTCCTTCTGGTGGTCGGCCAGGACGCCCTGGTGCTCATAGGTCAGCTGTGACAGTGCCATCTTTTGGCTCTCCTTCAGACTCTCTCGCTCCTGCTCCAGTGTCTGGGAGGAGTGGAAAAGTGTTCGTGATAATGTGTACTATTACTACAGGAAGGTGTTAGTGAATACTGTGTAAAACTACTACTACAGAAAGGTGTGAGTGATAATGTGTACTATTACTACAGGAAGGTGTTAGTGAATACTGTGTCAAACTACTACTACAGAAAGGTGTGAGTGATAATGTGTACTATTACTACAGGAAGGTGTTAGTGAATACTGTGTCAAACTACTACTACAGAAAGGTGTGAGTGATAATGTGTACAACTCACAGGAGGTGTTAGTGATAATGTGTCCTATTACTGTACTACAAAAAGGTGGAGTGATAATGTGTACTATTACTACAGGAAGGTGTTAGTGATAATGTGTACTATTACTACAGGAAGGTGTTAGTGATAATGTGTACTATTACTACAGGAAGGTGTTAGTGATAATGTGTATATTACTACAGGAAGGAAGTAGTGATAATGTGAACAATCTACAGGAGGTGTTAGTGATAATTTGTCCATTACTGTACTACAAAAAGGTGTGGAGTGATAATGTGTACTATTACTACAGGAAGGTGTTAGTGATAATGTGTACTATTACTACAGAAAGGTGTGAGTGATATGTGTACTATTACTACAGGAAGGTGTTAGTGATAATGTGTACTATTACTACAGGAAGGTGTTAGTGATAATGTGTACTATTACTACAGGAAGGTGTTAGTGATAATGTGTACTATTACTACAGGAAGGTGTTAGTGATAATGTGTACTATTATCAATATGGAAGGTGTTATGATAATGTGTACTATTACTACAGGAAGGTGTGAGTGATAATGTGTACTATTACTCACAGGAAGGTGTGAGTGATAATGTGTACTATTACTACATGAAGAGTGATAATGTATTATTACTACAGGAAGGTGTTAGTGATAATGTGTACTATTACCATATGAAGGTGTGTGATGATATGTACTATTACCAGGAAGTTGGAGTGATAATGTACTATTACTACAGGAAGGTGTTAGTGATAATGTGTACTATTACTACAGAAAGGGTGAGTGATAATGTGTACTATTACTACAGAGGTGTTAGTGATAATGCAATTATTACTACAGGAAGGTGGAGTGATATGTGTACTATTACTAGTGAAGGTAATAGGATAATGTGTACTATTACTACAGGAAGGTGTTAGTGATAATGTGAATTATTACTACAGGAAGGTGTTAGTGATAATGTGTACTATTACAGAAAGGTGTGAGTGATAATGTACTATTACTAGCAGGAAGGTGTTAGTGATAATGTGTACTATTACTACAGAAAGTTGAGTGATAATGTGTACTATTACTACAGGAAGGCAAGAAGTGATAATGTGTACTATTACTACAGGGAAGAAGTGATATAGTACTATTACTATGAAGGTGTTAGTGATACTGTGTACTATTACTACAGGAAGGAAGTAAGTGATAATGTGTACTATTACTGGGAAGGTGTTAGTGATACTGTACCATTACTGGTTAAGGAAGGTGTTAGTGATAATGTGTACTATTACTACAGGAAGGTGTTAGTGACGTACTTATTATGAATAAAAGCAGTGATACTGTGTACTATTACTACAGGAAGGGTTAGTGATAATGCACTATTACTGTACCACAAAAAGGTGTGTGAGTGATAATGTGTACTATTACTATATGAAGGTGTAGTGATAATGTGTACACATTCACTACAAAACGGTGTGGAGTGATAATGTGTACTATTACTACAGGAAGGTAAGTAGTGATGATGCACTATTACTACATAGCGTTTAGTGATAATGCAATGTTATTACTACAGGAAGGTGTTAGTGATACTGGCACTATTACTACAGGAAGGTGAGTGATAATGTGTACTATTACTACAGGAAAGGTGTTAGTGATAACGTGCACTATTACTAGGAAGGTGTTAGTGATAATGTGCACTATTACTTATGAAGGAAAGAGGATAATGTGTACTATTACTACAGGAAGGTGTTAGTGATAATGTGTACTATTACTACAGGAAGGTGTGAGTGATAATGTGTACTATTACTACAGGAAGGTGTTAGTGATAATGTGATTATTACTTATATGTAGGCTGCGTTAGTGATAATGTACTATTACTACAGGAAGGTGTATTAGTGATAATGTGTACTATTACTGTTATGAAGGTGTTAGTGATAATGTGTACCTCATTACTGTTATGAAGGTGCGTTAGTGATAATGTGCACCATTACTGCGAAGGTGTTAGTGATACTGTGTACTATTACTACAGGAAGGTGTTAGTGATATGTGTACTATTACTTAAGGAAGGTGTGAGTGATAATGTGTACTATTACTATATGGAGCGTTAGTGATACTGTACTATTACTACTACAGGAAGGTGTTAGTGATAATGTGTACTATTACTGTACTACAAAAAGGTGTGAGGATAATGTGTACTATTACTACAGGAAGGTGTTAGTGATATGTGTACTATTACTGTACCACAAAACGGTGTGAGTGATAATGTAAAATTCACTATGGTAGGTGCGTTAGTGATAATGTGTACTATTACTATTATGGGAAGGTGTTATGATAATGTGTACTATTACTAAGGAAGGTGTTAGTGATACTGTGTAATTACTTAGCAGAGTAATGCGATATGCAAGTGATAATGTGTACTATTACTGAAGAAAGTGATAATGTGTACTATTACTATTATAAGAGTGATACTGCAAAATATTACTACAGGAAGGTGTTAGTGATAATGTGTACTATTACTACAGAAAGGTGGTTAGTGATAATGTACTATTACTAGGAAGGTGTTATTGATAATGTGTACTATTACTACAGGAAGGTGTGGAGTGATAATGTGTACTATTACAGTGAAGGTGTTAGTGATACTGTGTACCATTACTACAGAGGTGTTAGTGATAATGTGTACTATTACTGCTATGAAGGTGCGTTAGTGATAATGTGTACTATTACTACAGGAAGGTGGTTAGTGATAATGTGCACTATTACTACAGGAAGGAGTTAGTGATACTGCAATTTACCATTATGAAGGTGTTAGTGATAATGTGTACCATTACTGGGAAGCGCGTTAGTGATAATGTGCACTATTACTACAGGAAGGTGTTAGTGATACTGTGCACTATTACTGGCAGGCGTGTTAGTGATAATGTGTACTATTACTACAGGAAGGTGTTAGTGATAATGCAATTATTATTACAGGAATGTGTTAGTGATACCGTGAATATTACCACAGGAAGGGAGATACGTCAATTTATATTACAGTGAAGGCGTTAGTGATAATGTACTATTACTGGTTAAGGAAGGTGTTAGTGATAATGTACTATTACTACAGGAAGGTGTTAGTGATAATGTGTACTATTACTACAGTGAAGGCAGTTATGATAACGTGCAATTATTACCATATGAAGGTGTTAGTGATACTGTGTACTATTACTGGCGAAGGCGTTAGTGATAACGTGCACTATTACTACTGGAAAGGCTGCGTTAGTGATAATGTGCACTATTATAAGTGGAGGATAATGTACCATTACTACAGGAAGGTGGTTAGTGATAATGTGTACTATTACTGGGAAGGTGTTAGTGATACTGTGCGTACTATTACTACAGGAAGGTGTTAGGATACTGTGCAATTACTACAGGAAGGTGTTAGTGATAATGTGTACTATTACTACAGGAAGGTGTTAGTGATACTGTGTACTATCATCAGGAAGGTGTTAGTGATAATGTGTACTATTACAGTACTACAAAAAGGTGTGAGTGATAATGTTACTATTACTACAGGAAGGTGTTAGTGATAATGTGTACTATTACTGTACTACAAAAACGGTGTGAGTAATGTGTACTATTACTACAGGAAGGTGTTAGTGATAATGTGTACTATTACTACAGGAAGGTGTTGGTGATAATGTGACACTGCAGGAAGGTGTTAGTGATACTGTGTACTATTACTACAGGAAGGTGTGTAGTGATACTGTGCTACAGGAAGGTGTTAGTGATATGTGTACTATTACTACAGGAAGGTGTTAGTGATAATGTGTACTATTACTACAGGAAGGTGTTAGTGATAATGTGTACTATTACTACAGGAAGGTGTTAGTGATAATGTATATTATTACTACAGGAAGGTGTGAGTAATGTGTACTATTACTGCAGAGGTGTTAGTGATAATGTGTACTATTACTACAGGAAGGTGTTAGTGATAATGTGTACTATTACTACAGGAAGGTGTTAGTGATAATGTGTACTATTATTACTACAGGTGTTAGTGATAATGTACTATTACTGCAGGAGGTGTTAGTGATAATGTGCTATTACTACAGGAAGGTGTTAGTGATACTGTGTACTACAGGAGTGTTAGTAATGTGTACTATTACTACAGAAGGTGTGAGTGATAATGTGCTATTACTGCAGGAAGGTGTTTAGTGATACTGTGTACTATTACTACAGGAAGGTGTTAGTGATAATGTGTACTATTCTGTACTACAAAAGGTGTGTAGTGTATGTGTACTATTACTACAGGAGGTGGTAGTGATAATGTGTACTATTACTGTACTACAAGCAGTGTGAGTGATAATGTGTACTATTACTACAGGAAGGTGTTAGTGATAATGTGTACATATTACTACAGGAAGGTGTTAGTGATAATGTACTATTACTACAGGAAGGTGTTAGTGATACTGTGTACTATTACTACAGGAAGGTGTTAGTGATAATGTGTACTATTACTACAGGAAGGTGTTAGTGATAAT